AATCAACTCCAACAGAAACACTCAACTCTATGCAAAGTCATGGAAACTAAACAACCTATTGCTGAATGACAGTTGGGTCAAGGAAGAAATTAAGATAGAAATTAAAAGATTCTTTGAACTAAATGATGAAGGGAACACAAGTTATCAAAATATGTGGGATACAGCTTAAGAGTCCTGAGAGGAAAATTCATAGCCATAAATACCTACATCCAAAAGACAGAAAGATCACAAATCAACAATAGATGTACGAGTGAATAGATGTTGGTGTGGGTGCAGAGAGATAGGAACACTCCTACACTGCTGGTGGGACTGAAAACTAGTTCAGCCTCTGTGGAAAGCAATATGGAGATACCTTAAAGCGATACAAGTAGATCTACCATTTGATCCAGCAATCCCATTACTGGGCATCTACTGAAAAGATCAAATGACACTCTACAAAAAAGACACCTGTACTTGAATGTTTATAGCAGCAAAATTCACAATTGCAAAGCTGTGGAAACAACCCAAGTGTCCATCAATTCATGAGTAGATTAATAAAATGTGGTATATGTATACCATGGAGTACTATTCACCTCTAAGAAACAATGGTGATATAGCACATCTTATATTTTCCTGGATAGAGCTGGAACCCATACTACTAAGTGAAGTATCCTAAGAATGGAAAAACAAGCACCACATATACTTGCCAGCAAATTGGTATTAACTGTCCATACTTATCTTTAAATTAAAAATTAATTTAATTGTATCATAAATAAAATAATAAGCAATATTTAAATTTAATTTAAATGCATTTACAATATAGATAGACATAACTGTAACTCATGCTGTCTACATAAAATATTCAAATAAAATATTACTTCACTGGTGAGAAAAGATTATTCAAACTGAATCACATTGACATTGACTAGACCAGTGATATTTCTATGCAATGCTAGAAACAATCATGTGGCAACACATTCTCACTGCAATGTAGCAATACACATGCTCCTCAGCTTATAATGGGTCTCCATCCTGCTAAAGCCGTCATGAGGTGAAATATTGTAAGTTGAAAATGCACTGAATACACCTAACCTACTGAACATCACAGCTTAGTAACAGTACACTGTAGAGCACCGGTTGTTGACCCTAGTGATTGCACGGCTGACTGGGGGAGTTGCAGCTTGCCGTACTGCTGTCTACCGAATGCATCCCTCTCACACCATTGTGAAGTCAAAAACTGTAAGTCGAACCAAAAACCATAAGTCAATCCATCAGAAGTCAGGGACCATCTGTGATATCTTTAATGATGCAACAGTGGGAGTGAAATGTGTTTCCACCAAAACAGTAAAGTTGTGTTCCATGGTAAAATATTTTACACTTTATCAGTTGTTAAATTTAAATTAAAACTAATTATAACTAAATAAAATTAAAAATTCTGTTTCTCAGGTACACCCTTAAATATCAAGTGCTCCATAGCAACATGTGGATAATGGCTGCCTTGTTCGATACTGTATTTTCTAGAAAATACTCAAACATATGCACTTTAAACACACACTTCTAAATAATCCACAAGAGAATAAAGACATGGCAGGGATACAGAAAGTATCTGAAACTGAATGACAGTGAAAACAGAATGTATGAAAATTTGTGAGATACAGATAAACTGATGAGAACAGATACTGCACTTGATCTTAGCCAAAAGGCAGAGAAGCGATAAGTGGGATACAGATAAATACTCCTAGGGGAAATTTTATAGCTTTCTATTCTTCTATTGGAAAGGAAGAATTTTTAAATAGTGTAGAGAATACTGTAGATAATATATTGTGGAGTCTCCAGATAGTATTATCTTCTGCAGAATACTGAGTTTGTGCTAGCAGGCACTTAAATTACTGGCAGATGGCTTTTGCCTTAGGAAGGCTTGATTTTTAGATGTCATTAGCAAGGGTCTGCTTTAATTTTGCTCTTCCTTCTAGGGCAAATATTTTAGTCCTGAAATGCAGTTCTCACTCCTCAAATATGACCCTTTTGGTATTTCAGTGGAGATCTCGAAATTTACCAAAGGCCTCTAACTTGGTGAACTGGAACATGAACTTCTGTTTGTTGCTGTGAACAATTGCTGGTGTCTCTGATAAACTCTGTCAGCCTCCAGATACATTTTTCTCCTGGACTGCCCTGCACTTGTAGGGTTCAAGGTCAGCCAAGGATTTAAAGGCAGTTCAAATGCAGAGTTTTTAGTGCCCCACAACCCCAGTCTGTGGCTCTTTTCTTTTGGGGAGTCCCTCATCAATCTCTACTTGCTCTGGCTGCCTAAATACCATCCTCCACTCGCCAGCCCCTCTGAGTCTCTGGCTAGTGCTGTCTGTCCATCAGCATGATGGGGTAGTGCCCTCAGGGGGAAGATGCATCAGGGTGGGACCAGTGTGGTCCCCTCGTCTTAGGGGTCAAGTTCTCTGTACGTGTTCACCACATTTGGTCACTTCCCACTGTCTTCAAAGTTATTAAGTATTATTATTACAGTTGTTGTTGCTTTAGAGATTGAGTCTCACTGTGTTACCCAGGCTGGTCTTGAACTCCTGGCTTTAAGTGATCCTCTGGCCTTGATCTCCCCAAATGCTTGGATTATAGGCATGAGCCACTGTGTCTGGCTGTTGTTTTACTCTTAACTATTTTGCATTTTCTGTATAATTTGTAAATGTTATCACAGAAAGATTGGAGGCTGGAAACCTTCCTTCACAGCTGCTTTGACCCATCAAGGAAGAAAAAACTCTACTGATTCAAAGAATCCTCCAAATTCCTGTTTTTCATCCTTCACCCCAGTGTAGAGATACTTTTAGAAAATAACAAATTCTAAAGGTTGCTATTATCACAGCCTCGACCAAGACAGTCTTCTGTGGTCACCATCACCCCACCACTTCTTTCTTACTAGTACATAGACAGCAGAATTTCTAGAACATTCCCACACACGTCTTCCCCATTCTTCTCTGAGGCTGAGGAAGTGATAGCTATGCAGCAACCTCTATCCTTCTGCCTAAGATGTTGAGAGGCATCTTCCCTGCTATTTAGTCATAAAAGAGAGAAAATATCATATTTGAGGTAATTAAAACTGTTTTTAATGAACAACATGTTAGGGGGTATGAGAATGACATATTTTGAGTTACTTGCCATTTAGTTACTGGATGGATCTCACTTGGTCCAAGGCTTGTATTTTCTGTTACAAAATTAATTAAACTAATAGAGTTAAAATAATAACATATAAATTTTAAAAATGTACCTCCTGTGCTAACAAAAATGCAAATGATTTTTAGTTTCTACTTCAATACCTCTGGGGTTTTGAGTCTGTTCACTTAGAAACAAAATGGCCTTGATTTATACTTGAAATATTTACCAATTCCCTCAAACTTAATAAATACATAAACGTAAAACAATTCCAATTAGAATACCAATAGGGTGATTTTTGGGAAATGAAACAAGCAATTTTAACTTTCACGTAGAAGAATAAATGCCTGAGAATAACAAAATATAAAATTATAAACCAAGGAGAAAATTGGCTCACTACAAATTAACCAAAGCCATTATAATCAAATTAATATTTTATTCACATAGGAGTAGAAAAGTAGGAGATATGAAGCAAAATGAAAATTCTGACATAAATCTTAGGGAGTATGAGAATTGAATATATGATAAATGTAGCATTTTCAGTCCAGTGGGAAATCAATCACTTATTTCATAAATGGTTGTGGTACAAAGGGTATCTTAGCATACACCAAAATATGTCTCTGTTCTGCTTTGAGACGCTTTTCTGAATCTTTCAGAAATACTTAAGCTTTCTCAGGCGTCTGCTGCGTCTGGGTGGGACGGGTCGTGGGCTTCTGGGCAGGAGGCCGCAGGGTGCTGGGCAGCAGACGGGCATCCACGCAGACCTGACGCTGTGTCCTCTTGATTTCTGACCGTCCCCCAGCATGGTCACCACCTCCATTCCCATCCCTGCCAGGATAATGCATCTAGATAGGGATTCTCTGCCACTCAGCTTGAAGAGGGATCTATTAGGAGGCATCTTCCTACTTCCTTCTATCCTCTTCCCATCCATTAGTCAATCTCCCCAGGAACATCTTGAACCTGAAAGAGGTTGAGATGCATCTGAGGTGCATCAGCTTCCTCACGCAGGCAGACAGCTTGCTGAGGCCAGAGCCAGGCCAACATCTGTTCCCTATTCGTCCTGTCCAGTATTGCTTTATGAGCCCTGTCTGTAGGAACAGCTTTGCAGGAAGATACCCACGGGCTGCAGAGTTCTCCCATAAACCATGCAAGCTGCCGCACAACATGTTTAAGTCATTCGATTGCTTTCTTTGCAGGTCACCTTTCATCCTTGCCTCCTCCCATTCAGCTCCCACAAATACCTGCCAGGGAGCCCACGGGGCCACGCAGACACTCACCCCACCTGCACTCTCCCCTCTGCCAAGGGAGAAGGTGGGGCTGCAGGTAAGAGGAGGCAGGCTGAGAGCAGCCTTTGCCTCTGACAACAGAAGGCAGACATGGCGAGAGGGCCCTGCAGCCCAGGGAGAAGGGGAAGTGCCAGATGTACACACTCCCCAATCTGAGCCCACCTGGCACCTCTAGGGGCCTCCATATCCTGTAGCCAGGGCTAGGGGTCCACTCTCTAGACCAGGACCCGGCTTCCTGAATACTCTGCCCCTGACTTCGCTCATCTTTGCCATTAGGAAGCTCCCAGGGGACTTGCTTGTGACTGCTGAAGAGTGAATAAAAGGGCTGCTCCTCCTGCCTCTTTCCTGTTCCTGCTCCCTCTCCTCCCCAGCCCAAGATCCCTTCCTCCACATATCTCAGAGCCACCGCCAAGCTCTACCCAAAGGACACAGCAGGTGCCTTGACAGTCATTGTGTCTTTCCCCTTCGCAGGCAAGGACAAGGGCAGTGAAGTCACCTAATCACTGTCTCACACCGAGTTGCTGGCTCAACCTTGGCCAGGAAGTTGTGGGAGTCACAAGGAAGACAAAGACACAGGCCTGCCCTCAAGAAGCTTTTATTCTGTCACGGCACAGACAAGTATCCCCGAGAAATGCAATACCATGAGATGGAAGGTCCCATATGCGGACAGGGTGCTGCTGGAGCACAGAGTGCAGAGGCCCCAAATGTTCTGGAAGAGGAATGAAGGACCTGGGATGTGAGCTGGGCACTCTGGGCCCCATCCTCGAGCCCCCTTCCTCTCTCACCACACCAGACGTCATGGCCTGGAGACCGGGCAGCGCTGGAAGGAATAGACAGAGCAACAGGGGTCGGACACAGGGGTGCAGGCGCTGAGGGAGTCCCTTGCTCAAGTCCAGCACAGGCTCAAAGGGTCAACCCTCCCCAGCAGGCGCCGGGGAATCTTCTGATTCCTCTGAATCGGGGACAGCCCTTCCTTCCAGCCGGGACTCTTGGAGGAGCGCTTCCTCCGAGCCTTGCCCCTGGGTTGTCTGTCTTTGCTGCACTTCTCTGAGCAGAGAGTTTCGCTGGGCGTGCTGGCAAGCCTCGCTGCTGTAGCAGCGGCCGTCGTTCTCCCACAAGATCTCCTCCACCTTGCGCATGAGCTCCCGCAGCTGGGCCTCCCGCTGCTCCGGGGCCGCGGCCCGGTTGCTGAAGCCGCAGTGGCGCCTCATGCACTCCAGGTCCAGCTGGGCCAGGGCCTCGTGCTGGGTCTCCCGCAGGTACTCGTCCAGCGAGCCGCCGGCCAGGTCTTCCTTCCGGGTGAACACCAGGACGGTGTGCGCCAGCACCTTCTTCCCCAGGACCTCGCGCAGGCGCGCCACGGCGCGCAGGTCCTCCTCGGTGAAGCGGCCCAGCTGCGCCACCAGCAGCACGGCGTGCGGCCCGGGGGCGCAGGCGGCCAGGGCCTGGCGCACGGCGGCCGCGCCCGGCTGGCCCTGCGGACACAGGATGTCGGGCGTGTCGGTCACCTCGAGCTCCGTGCCGTCCCACTCCCGCCTCCCGGTCTGGGCGGCCTGGGTCACGGGTCTGGTACTGAGCTTGGACTCAAACACCTCCCGGCCGAGGATGCTGTTTCCTGTCGCGCTCTTCCCACTTCCGGTTTTCCCCACCAGCAGGAGCCGCAGTCGCCTCGGGGTCCGCTGCCTCTGCCTCTCGCCTAGAAGCAGCAGGGAAAGCGGAGGGAACTGGGTTAGCACCCGTCCACTGCATTTGCCCTCATCGGGCGCCCCGGGCGCCGCGGCACCTCAGGGCCAGGTTGTCCTGGGTTGGGGTGGGAGACACGAAGGCCGAGGTCGGCCAAGAAACCTGCCCCGGGCTCCGGTCTCAGCCTTGAAGAACGCAGGCGGGTTGGGCCTTGAAGGTGGGGCTGAACATCCTCACCCACCATCGGCTGGGAGAGGAGACTTGGAGGATCCAAGGCAACACTGAGAAACCTACTGTCAAGATTTTTAGGTGTGACTGGGGCAGAAGGCAGGAAGGGCATTCTCTCCTGGCCTTGCGGGTCCCAAGACCTGGAGTACATAAATAAATGACGAGTAATAGTTGATTTCCAAGTCTGGTCCCCATTGAATACATTGGTGGGTCTCAGATGACAGAGCACTAAGCCTCTCAGAAGCAGTGTGGGCACCTTCCTGTCCTGAGTCTCCTTAGCAAGGACAGGTTTTGCTGCCCGGGGCTGCCTGGCCCACAGCCCCGTCCTGACTGAATGACTTTGGCTCCCTCCAGCTTCCCCCAGGGGCTGGAAGAGGATTTGAGTGAAGGGGTGGGACTTTCAAAGAAGCATGGATGGTGGATGTTCATCCCTGTCCACCTGGCCAACGCAAAGGTGGGGGAGACAGTAATCCCATCTGAGCAGCCTGGAGCCAGCACACACCAAGGACTTTAAGCCAGATATATCACTTTAGCTCTGGAGATGATTTTGAAAGTAATATCTAACCTTGATTGCCGTAAGAAAAGGTAAAACAGGTGTTAGCACACATATTGGTAATTTCCTAGGTGGTAGATTAACCATTTAAGTTCATAAAGTCAAAATTCATTCATGTTAAAATACGTAATGAATCACAAATCATTTCTTCTGGCCAGGAAATGGGTGGGTTTCCAACACTCCTAAACTTTGCCTCCCCAGGTTAAACGACAAAGTTCGTCCCATGAAAAATTAAGCGCCTGACCCTGTGCAGTAATAGCTCTTGCGGGAGGAAGCCCCTGGGAAGGCTGATCCCAGTTCCGAGGCAGCAGCTGAGGATGTTCTGCTTGTCCTCAAGGTGCCCTTGACCTTTCTGCCCCTGACATGTCTGAGCCAGCCAACCAACCACGCAGGATCTGTTGGCATCCCAGCCTCGGTCCAAGGCCAGTTGCTTTCCTCAGGAGGGAAGTGCACCATGTGAAGACCCTTTTCTTTGGGACTGGCTTGGAGACTCAGTAATCAGTGCTACTTCTCACTTCCTTTTGCCTACCATACCTAGCAGGGGGTCTGTCCCCTCATTTTTGGCTGGCGTAAAGAAGGGCCCTACCCCAAAGGCCCTCCAGTGGTGGCTGAGGTGGGTCAATCTCTGCAGGCACAGCAGGTGGTGGAGCACTGTCCCACCTGCACATCCGGTGATCCCCATCTGTACCTGGCTCGTGTGTCCCTTCGGCGAGGGAAGTAGTGCTACCTCCTGACAGCTGTCCTGCAGGATCCTGAGACAGTTCTCCTGGACAGTTGTCCGGGGCAACCTGTTCATATTCTTCTTTCTCCATCTGGAGAAAACAATAATATGTTTTACTGATTTTCCAACTGAGTTTTAACAGGCCCTGCCTTTTGCCTTTCTCTTGCCAGAGGGAAGTTTTTTGCATTAATATAGGGGTGAGGGTGGGGAGTGAATGAGGAGAGGGATGCAGGGGTCTGAGACTCTCTGATGGCTTTAGGGACCCTCTTCTCCCCACCACCCCACTGTGGTCGATCATGAGTTTAAGAAGTTTCATGGAGAAAGGTGCAACTGGCCCAGAACTGAGGAGTGCATGGAATGCACATAGACAGAGGGTCTGGAGCTGTTCTGGGAGGAGGAGGAGGAGGAACAGAGGCACAGAAGCAGTGTGATCCTCATCCTGTGTGTCCCAGGAGCAGCAGGAAGGTCTGTGTGGCCATGGGCCTGGAGGGCATGAATGGGCAGGAAGTCACTGGGAGGGCACAGCTCAGTGGGCCTTGGGGACAGACTCTGGAGAAGGCTTGTCAGTGAGGACTGCAGGGGGCTGAGCTTGGTGGCCAACTGTGAGGAAGACGACAGCCACTGGGACCTTCACAGTGCGGGCAGAACCCTGCCGGAAGGAAGCCAGAGGCCTCGGTGCGCAGCGGAGAGGCAGCCGTCAGTTAGCTCAGCCATCGGTGTGGAGGCTGGGCCTGACTAGATGCTCATGAAGGTCTCTTCCCCTACGAGATCCCAACACATTTTAGAACATTTTTTTGGAGCAACTCTTAGTCCTTTCTGCAAACAAGGGCAACATCATTCCCAACCAGGAACTCCCGTCACCCTTCCTATGAGAGCGCGATGTATCCTTACTTCCTGGACTAACATCATTCTCTATTTCAGGAGCCCATAGTGTTGTATCTGCTTGAGTTTCTCTGTAGGATTGGGGAGGAACCTGCATGGCCCATGACTGTTTTTCCAGAATGTGTAGAATGTTCACAGCCAGATGAAACAGTTCCAGATGACGGCTCTAGGGTGTGGGAAAGCCTAACTCCAGGGGAACCTTGGTAGACAGGGTTGTCTCATTGCCACAACATTGTAGGATGTTTGTTCTACTCTGTTCACCTGGCAAACGCTCCAGTCCACTCCAAATCCCAGGAGCTAGCCCGTAGGAGGCCAGTGTGGACATTGCTTTATGACTGATGTCTTTATACAGTACAGGTCAGCTCTGAAATGACAGGCCGGGGATGGAGGGAGCCCAGGAAGGTTTGCTGACTTTCCAGGAGGAGAGAGGAGGCAGGCGCAGTGGACAGCCTCACTCAGACCTGGACAGCCGTGTTCTGGGACGAAACAGTATTTCACCTTTCAAGGGGAGGTCAGTGCCTCCTAACTCTGTGAGCTGGTGGCCTGCAAACTGTAGACCCTCTCCATCTCTTTGTCCCTGGCTTCCTTACATCTCTCGGGGGAACTGAGGCGGCTCTTTGCCAACATAATCTCATTCCTCTTTTAGAAAGAAGGGTGGCTTAACAGAAAACAGTGGCTGGGTGCGACTAGGCTGGGGGTGGGAGGACCCTGAGAGCGAAGTTTAGGGACTGCGCCCTGCACGGCCCAGAAAACGGGTCTGCATCCAGGCACCTCGCTGCCTCCACCTAGACCCCGCCCCGAACAGCACCTCACACGATCGTCACACTTGTATTTTTTGTCTCCAACTCAGAAGATGGAGCAGATATAACCAACGTTGCCGTGCTGTTCAGAAAGAAAGCAAAAATCACAGAAGCATCGTATCAAATCTGAAGCAGCAAGTTTCCCGCAGAGCACAAAGTTCTCCTGACTTGCTGGTCCTAGCTCTTTCTATCACATCACACACGCACACACATATACATACACAACACACACATCACTCCCACAAACACACATACATGTAAACACACGCACACACGCACACACTCAGACTTACCACTCGGCCAACCCCCAGCAAGAGGAAGGGCCCCATTTCCTGTCTCCCGAGCCCCGCACTCCCGTGAACCTGTCTCCCGCCTTAGGGCCAATACCTGGTGAGCTCCTCGAGGGACGAGATGGAGGCGGCAGAGGAAAGCTTGCAAGGCCAAGGTGTATGGACGCGTGCAAGACGAGGCCAATGTTTGCTTACATTTTTCAGCAAATCGTGCTAGAGATCGCAGCTGGAGAACTGCTCGCAGAGAGCAGCGTGGCTGTGAGGAGGGAGGGGCAGGAAGTGGGCAGGAACACGCCGGGCGGCCGGCCTCCAAGTCTGTGTAGCCTCAGAAACAGAAAAACAGGATAGCACTGGTGGGATCCTTTTTATCCTGAACCAGGATTACTAGAACTCAGAAGCTTAAATAGTAGCAGATCCCTCAGAAAACTCTGTGTCAGAAAAAGTGATTTTTGACTGAGTTCTCTTTTTTTGAACTTTGCCCATTTCCCAGGGAACTCCTCTGCTTCAGTATTGGGTCAGACGTGCATTGTCTACTTTCTCCCACCAACCTCTCCTTCCTCGTTTCTCTCAGAACAGGGTCTGATATTTATTCTAAGGCACAAATCATTGATCATTTCAATTTTTGTGTCTCCTGGAAGATTTGCACTCTAACAAATGCAAAAAGAATGTAGGACTTGGCCGGGCGCGGTGGCTCATGCCTGTAATCCTAGCACTCTGGGAGGCCGAGGCGGGCGGATTGCTCGAGGTCAGGAGTTCGAAACCACCCTGAGCAAGAGCGAGACCCTGTCTCTACTATAATAGAAAGAAATTAATTGGCCAACTACTACATATAGGAAGAAATTCAGGCGGGCATGGTGGCGGCATGCCTGTAGTTCCCAGCTACTCGGGAGGCTGAGGCAGGAGGGCTTGTTGAGCCCAGGGGTTTGAGTTGCTGTGAGCGTAGGCCGACGCCACGGCACTCACTCTAGCCTGGGCAACAAAGCGAGACTCCTGTCTCAAAAAAAAACAAGAATGTAGGACTTAAAAAAGAGCGCTTGTATGGGGAAGAGAAGGCATTTTAGACATGGACAATGGAGAAAAAAACCCTCAACATCCTCAAAACACATCTTTCTAGGATTTTACCCACATATCTGACCACCCAATTAAAAGGGGGGCCTTTGAAGGAAAAAATTGAGAACACTTTGAGCATAGGGGATGAATCACTATCACATGATTTTTAAGAATGTTAAGTCCTCAAAAATCCCACTCATCTAAACTAGTTTCTAATTTTCTCTAGTTGTTATTCATGCGGATTTTTGACCATTATTACATAGTGTATATATCTTCCAATGTTCTCTTAAATTATTCTGTAAATGCCTTAGGCATGAATAATTCTTAGAAGTCATGTGGTTTGGTCTTTACAATTCACTTTCCATGGTATAAGTAATTAGAATATTATTTTACTGCACCCATCTATTTTGAATTCTAACAGTTGCCATTTTCTGAAGGCTGACCCTGGGGGTGCCAGGAACCTGCGCTCACTGAGCGGCATGAGATCCACTTGAGCATTCAGCCACCAAATTTTGGAAGTGTTTCTTACTGCAGCATAATCTGGCTAACCTGACTGATACAGAATGTAAATCTGATGTTGGTTGTTTTGTTTGTTTTGTTTGTTTGTTGTTGCTGACTCTCACTGTCAGCCGTGATTTCTTTTCTGGAGGAATGTCCACATCTTTGTGAATTTAAATATGGATATCCTGGAGCGACAGAGATCAAGGTGGCTTTACTCACGAAGAGGGGTTTGCATATCTTTTTATCAGGAACTGACAGGGGGTGCGGTGCCTACTGAACCAAGACACTTGAGCCCCTTGTGAGATCTCCGCTGGCTTAATACAGAAGTCCCCCAATCTACAAACTCACTTCACAGCTGAGGGTCCAGGTTAAGGCTCCAGAGACTATGTGGAGATCTTTATTTGCCCTTAGGGTACCAACCTTCCCTTTGAGTTCATGGCTCACAGCTCATTTCAGTTTAAGTTGTGTTTTTTTGGTTTTTTACTACTTTTTTATTTTTTGCCAATATGGTGTTGTCACTTGCCTCCTGTAAGCCAAATCAATATAGTCTGTTGTTTTGTGGAGGGACGGCTCTCTGCTGCTAATGGTCTCAAGCAGAGTATGTCTACCAAGATGGTAATTTACGGTCCCTGTCATTGTCTTGTTTTTAAACCTCATCCCTTGGACTGGAAACGCAGTCACGTGACCCAACCTAGTTGCAAGGGAGGCTGGGATATGGAGGAGCATATGAACTAATGGCCTTGGACACACCAGTCCAGCTCTGAGCTTTGGGGGAGCAAAAATTAGTCACAGTTACATAAATAGCTAAAAAAACAAGCCCACATGGTTAATGGAAAGATGGTGACTGTAAAATAATAAGTAACATTGTAAGAGCACTTAGTGTACACTGGGCACTGTTTTAAGTGCTTCACATGTTAACTCATGTAATCCTCACAGTAACGTATAAGGAGGAAATTAAAACACTAACACAGTTCACCCGATCCCACTGGAGCTAGCATGGCTCCAGCAGACTGGGTAAAACAGAAGAAATAATACTCTCTCCATAAAGAATATTGCCGTGGTCCAAAGTATCTGAAATCAGATATGGAGTTCCTCTCCAACCCACGTAATCTTTATCCAAAACAATAGTAAAGATGAGTAAGCATGGTTTGGATTGGGGATGCTATAAAAATTCGTAACTCTTAAATATGTAATCACACATGGGCTAGCACTTATACAAAGTTCATTATTTCCTTTTCACATGTTTATCTCACTCAGATGGGAACGTGCCCTGACTAGTCTGCTGATGCCTGAAGGAGAATGATTGGCATGGAACGAGCTACGAGGTAGCCAATACACAAGTGACGTGATGGTTAATTTATATATCAACTGGCTAGCTATGGTGGGGCCCAGTTCTTGGTCAAATACCAGTCTAGATGTTTCTGTGAAGGGTTTTTTTTTTTTTTTAGCTGCCAACTAATATTTAATTGTTAGGGACCGGCTTCCTGCACCCCGCCAGGCGAGCAGAAACAAGGACACCAAGGATGCAATCACTCAAGAGAGCTTTATTTTCCTGGCTAGCCAGGTGTCAGCCCTTTAGAGTGCCAGGCGCACGGTGGTCGTCCTTTTAAGGCAGGACCGCTGACCAAAGGCTGGGGCTGCGCTTTTATCCCCCGCCTCCCTCGTTGAACACCCTGCCACTGCCACAAGCTGATTGTGGTCTGGTGTAGTCTTCAAAATGATTGGTGGACTGGTAGCCTGCCAGCGGCAAAGGGGCCTTTCTCCCTTATCTGGCACCGTACCTACGCGTCTAGCTGCAAGCAAGTGATTCTCAGAAGCAGAAATATGCGTTTAGCCGATAGCTCTACCTTTGGGCCCCAAGCTAGCAGTTTCCAGAAGCCGATTGTTCCTCCCCTGGCCAATTTTCTGTTATCCGGGCTCGCACAAGTGAGCCAGCAGCTTTGGGCTGCAACCAGGCCCTTACATTCCCCCCTTTCTTCTTGGGGCACTCTTTTGCCCAGTGCCCATGTTCTCTACAACAGGCACACTGGTTCCTGTCAAGCCTCTCTCTCTGGAATCTGGGCCCTGCTCTGTTCTCTGATCTTTCCTCCCACCTTCTCTCTCTCTCGGCTAGCAAAATTTTAGCCATTTCTTTATTTGCTTTCCGCATCTCTCTAGCCTGAAATTTTCTGTCTTCTTGTCTTATCCTCTCTGTCTTTTCTTCTGATGTCTCTCTATTATTGTAAACTTTTTCTGCTACCTCTAATAGGTCCTGTAAGGTTTTCTCTCCTAGTCTGTCTATCTTTTGCACCTTTCACCTTCTGTCTGAAGCAGCCTGATTCACAAAGGCCATCATGACAGCGGCCTTACTTTCCTCTGAGGTGGGGTCTATGGGACTGTACTGCCGGAAGGCTTCCATGATTCTTTCTAAATATGCTGCCGGGCTTTCTTCTGGGCCCTGACGCACATCTCCTACCTTGGCCAAATTAGTCGGCTTTCGCGCCGCCATGCGGAGACCGGCCATCAGAGTCTGGCGGTAGACCCGGAGACGCTCCCTACCTTCAGCCTCATTGTAGTCCCACGGAGGTCGTTCAAGGGGGAACACTTGGTCAATGGTCCGTGGGTTCGTTGTAGGTCTACCATCTTCTCCTGGGACCAATTTCCTTGCTTCCCCCTGTATCCTTTCTCTCTCTTCCGTGGTGAAGAGCACCTTAAGTAGCTGTTGGCAATCATCCCAGGTGGGCTGATGCGTGAAGAGAACAGAGTCTAATAGGTTAATTAAATCTCTAGGGTTATCAGAGAAATTAGAGTTTTGGGCTTTCCAGTTATAAAGATCACTGGTGGAGAAAGGCCAATATTGGTAATTCTGTGTCCCATCTTCCCCCTGGGGTCCGACTGCTCGCAAGGGGAATGTTTTCACAGGCTCCGGGTTGGGGGTTCGACCTGTGCGCTGTCTGGTGCCATAGGCTGGCCCTTCTTCCCCTCCCACAGCACTCTGTTGGGGCGCTGTTGCCTCGGAGATCGTGGGCGCTGTCCTGGGGTTATAAGGAGGAGGGGCATCAGGCTCGGTCAGCCCAATCAAATCTGGGTAAAGGTTGGACTCCGGGAGCACCTGGGTGGATGGGGAGTCCTGCTGTTCTTTCTTAGTACTACCTCGCACAGTGAGGACCTCAGAGGACCCCCTAAAGGGCGGCACGAATGCTTGCATCCAAGGTGGGGGATCTCGCACTAAATCCTGCCAGACTATAATGTATGGAATCTGGTCTGGGTGCCCAGGGTGCCCAAAGACTTTCTCTTTTACTTTTTTTACCATGACTCTGTCAAAGGATCCCTCTCTAGGCCACCCGACATCAAACTCGGGCCATTCAACTTTACAAAGGGTGACTAGTTTGCCCCTCCTGATTTCCAGGGACAGACTACGGGCCCTTTCCCTCACGTCCTTAAAGTGGCCTGTTAGGAGAGAGAGAGGCGTTGTCATGGCTTGCCCCATGGTTGTGGCGGAGTCCGAGGGCGCGGGCCCCCCTCAGGGCTTAGGCTGGGGCAGGATTCCTCTGAATCTACTATGGGCAGGTGGCGGTACCGGCACTGGCCTAGGGCAGAGGCCTCTGGGGTGAGGATCCGACGGCAGATGACACAACGGGGACCTTTGGCCAATGCTGGTCTGCCCCGGATCGTGGCTCTAAGGTCCTCCTCTGCTCCTCTTCGCAGGTTTCCTAAATTGAAAATCTTGCTCTCGAGACCCATGCACACTCTCACTCTCCCCGGTGGTAACAAACAGTGATGACAGACAAAACGTGATGACAGACAAAACGGACAACAGAAGCTAGACA